TAGTGCAAAGAGTTAAACGCACTATCAACTAAATCACCGAGGTTCGAACAATCTCAATTTACTACGAAAGAATTTGGCACTATTACAACATGGCAGCTTCATATGTATTCTATTCTCACAACTTACAAACAATTAACTGCCTTTGCTATTGTAGGGACTTGGCATTGGCACACATTAGTCCAGTGTTCGACTTCTGCCAGCCTCTCTATCACCTTCGACTCACCTGATATATTTTTGGGGTGAGATTAACCACGTGGGGAAGTTCCAGATACTAACTAAAAAAAAAAAAAACTGTCTTTGCTTTCCTTCTTTCTTTTCAAACAAATTTAGTTATTCCCGTTGTACGGTGAAACAGGTATCAAACTGATTATTATTTGTATGATCCAAATACGCGCCATTACCGACACAACCAAAATTTTCTCATCCTCACGTCTTAAAACTAAAGACAAGTCAGCCAATTAATTTTCTAGGAAACTCCAATTTTCCTGTCTTTTTCTCTTCGTTTTTTGTCCTTTTGAAAAGTCAGCAAACACTATCCAACAAACGTATGCAACCACAATATTAAAATATTAAAAAAAATAAAAAAAACCCACAATATTAAAATTTTCTATTGATCATTTAACCTTCTACTGTTTTAATGGTTGGAATTAATATAATGAAAAAAATATCCTCCATCATCAGATAAAGACCACTTTGATTCTCTTCAATTGTTGCTACAATGTGTCTCTAGATCCTCTACTATAGTGGATTCCTGCTCTAACATTCTATAAAAAATTTGGACGCATTTAAATTTAAATAGTTTCAGAAACAAATGCATTGAGATTGAATTTAAGCATGTTGAAATCTCTTTTTAATATTATTATTTTTAATTTTAACATGGCAACTTAAATTGTGTTTTACTATTTTTTTCTATATATTGTAAAAGTGTTGAAATTTATAAATTTATTTTTTATTTTTTTGATCTGTGTTGAAAAATAAATAAAATGTGTTAAAACGGGATTTAAATGCATGTATTAAAAAATAATATAGATAAAAGTATATGTATATATAAAAGTATAAAAGTATATGTGTATATAAAAGTATATGCAATCAAGATAAAAGTATATGTATATATATATATACAGGTGTAGATACTAAAATTTTAGTGGGCTTTGATTTTGATAAATGGACCCATTAAATATTGGTCTAATATTTAATTAAGTTATTTAATTGACCAAAACTTGGTGTACTTAAATTATTTAATTAGCCCAACTCAGATGGTTAAATAAAAAAATAATTATTCCTAATAAAATATATATGGAATAATTATTTTTAAAGATAATTATCATAATATAACCGGCCCGACCCAGTTATTATTTTATCCTTATCAGGAGATGACATGTGTCATCATCATATTAATTCAAGAAGCTTATAAATAGAGGTCTGAAGGAAGGAGGAAGGGATACAAAAATTAAGAATCCAAAAATCCAGAGACTCGGAAATCCATAAGGTCCAGAAAATTGAGAGTCGTGCCATTGTTCACCAAATTCAACAAATTCTCTCATCTCTGAAGACGGAGAACAACAAGCATATCTAAAGACGTGCCGTTCTTCCTCAAATTTAACAAAGGATACAAATTCAGAATTCATCTAGAGACTCAGAAGTCAGAAACACAAATTCAGAATCCAAACCCAAAAGCGAAGAACATTAAACACATCCAAAGTCGTGCCGTTCTTCATCAAATTTCATGGTGATCAACAATAAACACATCCAACGATGTGCCGTTCTTCATCCAAATTCCACGGTGATTCAAGAACAAGCTCGTGCAGCCCTTGAATCCAACCAACAACAAAAGGAGATCGAATCAGATGACCATTCTTTTTTGTAAAAGATTTTACAGAGGATTGTACTCAAATTTTTCAAATTAATAAATTTTTATTTTGCCCATATTTTGTTTCTATTTACAAGACTACAATTTGTGTGTACAACAGGGTAACGATCTCTTGTTGAATTGTCACTAATATACATTATATTGTCACAAGCGACTGTCCATTCCCAGGCGCACTTCTAATTTTTTAAAAAATAAATTGTAATTAATGTATTTTTCCTAATTTTTTAAAATTTTAAAACTTCAACTTTAAGACCAAGTTACCCTTTTAATTTATTTCTTCTTTCTTTATACTTAGTAACCTTCCTTCTTTACTTTGTTACATATATTAACTTGATTTTTTTTTTCTTCATTTTTAACAATTGTCTTATTTTTTTTCTTTCTTGATGGGATATATATGGCTATATTTCATTATTTACTTTTTTTTTTTTTTTGTTCACTTGTCTTATATATATATATATATATATATATATATATATATATATATTCCACATTGATGGATTTTTTATTGGATTTTATGTAATTTAATTGAAATAACCGTATGAGATTAAGTTTTAATTGAAGTAATATTATAAAATTTGAGTTTTAGTTAATATGTGAAACAAGAGAAGTATGATTTTCTAATCTATTCATAGTAAATTACTATATATGTTATGTGTGTGAACAAAGAAAAGAAAATAATTGAAAAAAAATAGAAAAAAAAGAAGAAGGAAAGAAACAATCAATTTACATAAGATTTTTTTTTTTTTTTCTCTCTTTAATATGGATCTAGAGAATAGAGGGAGAAACAGTGAGAAACCCGAGTATATAAATAGTTAAAAACATTTGGAAAAAAAAGAAAGAAAGAAAAGAATAAGGTATGTAAGCAAAGAAAGAATCAAAGATTATATAGGTGAACACGTACAAGTAGGATAGAAAAAAAAAGAATAAATATAAAAGGGTAATTTGGTCCTAAAAGTTAAAATTTCATAGTTCCAATAAAATAGGAAAAGACGTATTAATTATATCTTCTATAATTAATTTTTCAGCCAATAAGAGGTACGACTGTCCATTCACAGTTGCTTGAGCGATTGTGTAAAATCCAATTTTAGATGGCAGACACTTTTTTTTTTTTTTCTTCAGATAAATGTAACCTATTTTTAAAGTAAAATGACATAATTGCCCCCTAAATCAATTAGAATTTAATTTTTGTTGTTGAATATATATATATATATATATATATATATATATATATATATATATTCAAAAACAATATATAGTTAGAAGTGCAAATGTTTAAAATAGGACTCTTGGGAATCGGACTCTCAAAAATAATGGAGAGGAACCTAATTGATATCGCTTTTATTATTTGATTTGAGGAAAAGAAAAAGTAAATAAGTGCATTTATGGTAAAGGAAAGTGGGAATATATTCTTCTTTGTAGATTCAAAAACATAGATATCCGAGCTTGCCAAATCTCAAATCTTCATACACGGTAGAAAAAGAGTCTTAAGATATGAGAACTTCGTGCATGAATTTAGAATGTAATATAACTTAATTAGAGTCACCATTCACCAATACCACTTATATTAAGTTCATTAGTGTACAAAAACAATTTTAGAAAGAAAATAGTTTGAAAAACAATGAGAAAAGATATTAGGTTTATAAACTTATTTGAAAAAGGATTGTTTTTTATTTAGCCACTATAAACTCCTTTAACAAATTCATAAATTTTTTTGATGCCGATTATATTAGACTAACATTTTAGGTCCTTTAGGAAATTTATAAATTTGTTATTAAATTTCTTTTCTTATTAATTTCTTAAAAAAATTAGCCCTAAGGCAAGTAATGCAACTAATATTTTTTTTATTGATGTTTCCAATTTTTTATTTATTATTTGTTTTTAAGCATTGAATCAAATGTGTTTTGTATAATTTATTTTCTTAAATCTCCCAAATTTATTACGACTTCTGTATCACATGCAACACGACACATTTTAAATTTATTGTGACATTTGTATTACATGCAACATTTCTTAAGTCTCTGTGTATATGTGTATATTAATTTAACGTGACATCTGTATTACATGTAACACATCGAACACCTAAATATAATACTATACTATAATATATATATATATATATATATATATATATATATATAGTCTATATAGACGTGACCTTTTATAGGGATTATAAAATATTTTGCATTGTTTTGCACAATCTTGTACAGACCATTCTCAACTTTATGCCTGTTACTAATAAAGCAAATTTTGGTCCCCGGTCGGTTTAAAAGATATATGAAGGTGTATTGTATTATTATTTTACTAAAAATAGAATATTTGTATAATACAATCATATTATTTACTAAAAATAGTAACTTAACTCTCACTTTTATAAATATGTTAACTACAAATAATACAATCATATTATTTAGACATTTTAATTATCTGCTCTGTAAATATATATACACTTGTGATTAACTCTCACTCTTCATTGTTAAACACCATCACTCTATTTATAATCACTCTCCATCTATTCTGTAAGTATATACAATTCGACCGCACTCTCCAAACTCTTATAATTTTATTTAGTCTCTGTAACTATAATTTTATCTACTTTAGTAAATTAAAGTAAAGTCTAGGTGAATTATAGTCATTAAAAACGAAACAGGTAGAAATTATATGAGCCAGGAGTTTGGTAGAGTTGGTAATACAACAACCTGGGGTGCCATATATCTCATGTTCTAGCTCGTCTATTTTTATTACAGAGGTATAGGACCATCCACAGCATTCTCAAATTTGTAATCTAGAATGGTTCCTCCTGCCCAACCAAAAAAAAAAAAAGAAAAAAAAAGAAAGAGTAGTAATTATATGCATGGATATAAATACTAACCTACCAAAAGAAATGGATTAAATATATAACAAGTTTAGTGTGTGGCTAATAAAACAAAAAACCAACCGAAAAAATAAAATAATAATAAGCTGGGTGTGGGGCCCACCTAAAAGGAAGACAACAACCATTGCCTTAAAATCTACCACCCGCCAAAGAAACCGAAACGCCGAATCTCATCCGTCCAAAACTCTGATCTTGATGATTCCGTCAGCTCCAGTGTCGCGTAATCATATCTTCCCATATGGGCCACCAACAGCATCAATATCAACACCAAAGCCGGAGGCAAACCAAAAACCAAAGCAAGCTCTCTCTCTCTCTCTAACTTCTCTTTCTGTATGTATTTTCTCTCTCTAGAACAGGAATCCTCCTGATGCTCTGTTCTTCAATTCATTAGGGTCTGTTTGGAACTCTTCTTTCAATTAATGGAAAAACCAAATAAGATGGTGGAGCGAGCTTTGGATGGTTTTTCTCCAGTATCTTCCACTCCGATTTTCTGGAAATCCAGGAAGAGATCAGGTACTTACCACTATTGACTCTCTTTTTCTATCTCCACTTAGTCATAAGTATGAGAATTGATTCAACTATATGGTGTTTGCTTTTTGTTGCAGATCTATATATATATATATATCTAAATTTTGCATATATTTTAAGCTAAGTCTTACCATAGTCATGTATTATACCCATCTCTTTAAATTCACAAAACTCCTCTTTCTTGAGTTGTTTACAGAGATTTTTAGTAAAAATGATATTAATTTTAGTAATTGTTTTGATTTTCAAACATAGCCATCTCTCTCTTTCTCTCTCAAAAAATACCCATCTTTCTCTCTCTCTCTCTTAGAGAGAGACGTAAGACATTACCAAGACTTTGTGAGACTTTCCTCACACGTCAATTTATCTGATTTGATTGGTTTACCAATCTCTCTCTATTGTTCATTATCTTGATTTTTCCCGTGACTTATTTTTAGGAATTCCAAATTGGTAATATTTTATAAATATTAGGAAATGCGTTTTGAGTCTTGCAATTTAATTTCTCAAACAGAGGCTTAACTATCTTCAAAAAGTGAATAAAGTCTTGATTTGAAATTATGTTTTTACTTCAATTAAATTATATTTTTTAGAAAAAAAATATTCACATTGGCAGAGCCACATAGGGTTGAAATTTTGTTATATTTTACTTTTGAATATATAAAAAATTTAAAAAAAAAGGAAAAAAAAAGAAAAAAAAGAAAAGAAACCACACATTTTAGGTTACAAAATAAAAGAATTAAGGATTTTGTTTTTTATGAATTGGTTTTTCAAATAATTGGAACTACAATATAATTTGGTAATTTACTTGAATTATTTAATATATCGGAAGAAATTATTATGCAATTTTTGAAACGTAAAAATTGGTCAAGGGCAACTATTGAATAAAAATAGTATCGATCAGATATTTAAATTTTCATATTTCTAAAAAAAAAAAAAATCTGGACATTGATCAATGTTGACCCCAATATATTAAATTTATGGCTCCACCATTAATTATTTATTTCATTATTTGGTCGAACAAATACAATACTTCTAGTCTTAAGTAGCATAGACACAAACACTGTATACACACACAATATGACACGGATATGTTGAAATGTTAATTCCTAAAAGAATAGGATGGGGGTACAGCATGGACACAACTATATATAAAATGTAAGTATTTATATACATCTATTGAATAAGATTATTATAAAACTTTAATACTCTGTAATTTCTAATTTCTATACTAAGAGTACTGTGACATAATTTAGAGGATAAAGTTTTGCAATTATTGTGATGATTGTCATATGATGTGTGGTGCTATTCCACTACTTTGTATTATATTTTTGTTTTATATGAAAAAGTTTCATTGTATGCTTCACTTGTGACCATGTGTAGAATGCCAAATATTTCTTAGAGAAAAAAGTTGATACATTGAGATGTGTTATTATGCCTGTAACTAATGTTGACTCTCTTTCTTTTTCTATCTCCACTTAGTCATAAGTATGAGAATTGATTCAATTATATGGTGTTTGCTTTTTGTTGCAGATCTATCTATATGTATATATATCTCTAAATTTTGCATATATTTTAAGCTAAGTCTTACCATCTCGTAGTCATATATTATACCCATCTCTTTAAATTCACAAAACTCCTCTTTCTTGAATTGTTTAGAGAGATTTTTGCTAAAAATGATATTAATTTTAGTAATTGTTTTGATTTTCAAACATACCCATCTCTCTTTTCCTCTCTCAAAAATACCATATCTCTCTCTCTCTCTCTCCTGAGGTTAGAGAGAGACGTAAGACATTACCAAGACTTTGTGAGACTTTTCTCACACGTCAATTTATCTGATTTGATTGGTTTACCATTCTCTCTCTCTATTGTTTATTATCTTTGATTTTTCCCTTGACTTATTTTTTGGAATTGCAAATACGTAATATTTCAAGCTTCTACTTTCTATTCGGATTGATTTGATTATATATTAACCTATTTTTAAAGAAAAAATTCTTTGAAATTCTTTTAAAATTTGGAAATGTGTTTTGAATCTTGCAATTTAATTTCTCAAACAGAGGCTTAACTATAAAAAGTGAATAAAGTCTTATTTGAAATTATGTTTTTAATTCAATTAAATTATATTTTTTAGGAAAAAAAAATATATTCATATTGGCAGACCCACGTAGGGTTGAACTTTTGTTATATTTTACTTTTGAATATATAAAAAATTTATAATTGTAAAAAAAAGAAAAAAAGAAAAAAAAAAGAAACCACACACCACACATCAAATTGTGTAAAAAAAAATGAAGGTAAGCAAGTAAGGAAAAATATTTAATACTTTTATTCACCCAATCCCACTCTTTTTGATTAAAAAATCCATTTTAGATTACAAAATAAAAGAATAAGGATTTTGTTTTTTATGAATTGGTTTTTCAAATAATTGGAACTACAATACAATAGAATTTTGTAATTTACTTGAATTATTTAATATATCAAAATGATTTATTATGCAATTTTTGAAACGTAAAAATTGGTTGAGGGCAACCAAAAACGTATTGAATAAAAATAATATCGATCAAATATTTAAATTTTCATATTTTTTTTAAAAAATTCTGGACATTGATCAATGTTGACCCCAATATATTAAATTCATGGCTCCACCATTAATTATTTATTTCATTATTTGGTCGAACAGATACAATACTTCCAGTCTAAGAAGCATAGACACAAACAGTGCATACATACAGAAAATAATAGGATAGGGGTACGGCATGGACACAACTGTATATAAAATGCAAGTATTTATATACATCTATTGAATAAGATTATTATATAACTTTAATAATTTCTAATTTCTATACTAAGAGTACTGAGACATAATTTAGAAGATAAAGTTATGCGATTATTGTGATGATTGTTATATGATATGTGGTGCTATTCCACTACTTTGAATTATATATTTGTTTTATATGAAAAAGTTTCATTGTATGCTTCACTTGTGACCATGTGTAGAATGCCAAATATTTCTTAGATAAAAGTTGATACTTTGAGATGTGTTATTATTTTAAAGAAAGCCGAACATGGCTAGGGATGTCCGAAAAGTGTGGGTCAATTGTTTAAGAAGGGTCATCCTAGTGTTGAGAAATGTTAAGTATCAACATTTTATTATAATAAAATGTATTATAAATGATATATGTTATTCACACACACGCATGCACATATAATGAATATTTGTGTGCGTGCGATAAACATTGCAATGAAAAAAAAAAATGTTGCATTTTCTTCAATCGTGACATAAAGTAATGGTGCGCTTGATGCAGCTAAAGCTAGAGTAGATATATAGGGGCATTCCTTTTAATCAATAATATGATTAAATTACTAATACTATGATTACTTTCCTTTGCTTTTGGAATTTAATATATTAGACACCCCTGTATGGTTGGCACCCGCACCACCTACCAGTTTCAAACACCCAGTTGCTTGAAGAACAATGCACAGGAATCGTATGAGGAAGTTTCTTCCAGAATTTTTTTTCTAGTTGGATTGGTCATATTATAAAACTGATATTGTTTTTCACTATTACTTGTATTTGTGTCAAGTAGTTTAGATGATAAAAAATATATATTAAATAGATTAGATAAAAAGGGTAGAAATGTCAAATGTTTAGTGGAAGTAAATTATACTTTCTGTGATATGATTAGAAAAAAAGTTACTCATTCCCTTGTTAAGAGTGGCTGAATCCTTGTTTCACCTTTATCTTCCCCCTTCTTAGATTAGTACTGGCACATATATCAGAAGCTCAATTTTTTGGACATCGAAAATGTATTTCTTCACAATGATATATATATGTTTTATTGCAACCGCTTGTTTTGTTCCTTCCACAGTCATTTGTAGTACAAAATTGATCAATATCTGTAGCAATGCCCCCGTGAAGGATGAATTTGTGCATTCGAATACTTGCCATCAATTGCGAAATCGAATGTTCTAATTTAGCAGGTATCGCTATCAAATTTACTTCTTTACGCTTCACTCCTTATCTGTCAGCTAGGTTAGCTTGCCAATCTTCGGGTTCCGTTTATAAGAAGTCCAATATGACATTTTCCTTTTTTAACTGGTCATCCTTTAGTGCCAGCTTAGTGTTTTGATCATGCAGCAACCTCACGAACAAGATTTGAAACCGAGTGTTGTTCTGATTTCCTATATTATGCTTATATGCGAGATCGGTTATATCAGAGGTTACTTATGATTTTCTCAACCATTTTGTGCCCAGTTTCATAATAAACCGTCTTTTGAGTTTGATATATTACCATCATATGGTATTTGCTGTTTCTCTTAGTTGTTTCTTGTCCGTGCAGCTAGTGTTCAGAACATGGACAAAGTAACCGATGCTACCACTGACAAAATACCTGAAAAGCAGGAAGATTCTCAAATGGAAGAGAAGCAAGAGGACTCAACAACAGCTTCTGTTCTTTCTGAGAAACGCAAGGCTCTTTTTGAACCCTTGGAACCCATAAAAAATGTCAATGGTCGACGACCGTCGGCTGAAAGCTTACTCCCTCCGCCAGATTTTGATACTGCAAGCTATCCCCGAGGCTGGCTGATAGGGAAGAAGCGAAAACTCGTCAACGTGGACGTTGTTGAGAGCATGCGGAGGATTGCTGTGCAGGAAATGAACAGAAAGGTGCTTTCCCAAGCAACTTAGGGCCTGTTTGGTTCAGTTTTCTGAGCAAGATCTCAGAAAACAGAAAATTGTTTTTAGTGAACTGTCATAAAACAAAAAAAACAAATGTCAAACGAGTTTTCAGATACTGTCAATCTAACAGGCAGTTGTCATGTTTTTTTTGTTCTCAAAATACTGAACCAAACAGGCCCAGATCTGACTCTTTTGAACAGAGTTTACAAATAACTGACAAACAAACAGATTCCGTATAGTTCTCTGATTTTCAGTTTTCGAAAAACAAAAATCTGATCCGACAGGCTCTCAAATTTTCAAATTTTCGTACATGTCTGTGTATGCATTTGTCTGTCCCTGCTGTGCACAAAGTGAACCATCACTAGTTTGATTATGCTTGCAGGACAGAGAGATTGATGGGCTAAATGAGCAGTTAGAAGAGGATGCACGGTGTCTAGAACATCTTCAACTCCAGCTGCTCGACGAACGGAGCAAGCGTGCCAATATCGAGAGAGAAAATGCAATGCTGCAGAACCAGATAAATATGCTAATGAACATGTTTCAGGAGAACGAGGCAATGGATGACGAAGGCTCGGAGGAGCCATAATCGTTGGGCGTGCGTTTGGTAAAAATTCTTTTGTAAATTTCTTTTGGCAAGTAGGTAGAATAGAATTATACACGTGCAACTTTCGTTTATGTATATGTTGTTGCAAGTATGTTGTTGCTCATGCTGGTTTTTGTTGTAATTGAGTGATTTTCATGTTGTAATATCGTTATATTTATAATATGTATGCACTTAATTTGTATTAATTGTTCATAATCAAATAATTGTCACTGAAACTTTGTTTACTGAACCTCCTCCTTGGCTAAAAATAGACTACATTTGAACTTAAGCAACAAAGCCCAGATGCCAAAATGAACATGCCATTCTGGGAAGATTAAGCGGCAGTCCTTCCCGGACATGGCTTCTGCCTGCTTGCAACCGGCAGAGACCTAACTGAATTCACCCTAGCCTATCGGGAAAATCCTCTGCAACGTTGCTTTGAGACCTACTGATGCAAAGATTGAGTTTGGTTCACCTATTCTCCTCTCCACTGTTACTTTCAAGTTTTGAACCGCAATGGCATCAGAAAAGATGATTGTCCCTTGCCATGATGCTGAAGCATGTCGAGTGTCCGTGAACAAGAACCACAAATTCTCCAGAATTCCAGGCTGTTGTTGCTCCATGGAAGGGTAGAACTGTTTGATGTCGAGAAAAGCCAGAGCTCCATTTCGCTTACCAGATTCACTCATTCTTGTTGAGCTTCCTCAGCTTTAATACTCCTACTTTCTTCAATTTCAGGGATGTGTATTTCTAAATATATTGGACATTTCAAAATGCAGGATGTTTCACAATCATAAACAGGACATGCCCTTGCCATTTCCAGAGGAAGGGAAGAAAGACGAAACAAATTAAAAAGTTTGCATTCGCTTGCTTATTTACAAGTACTCAAGACTAAATTGCTAATCTTGTCGCAATTAGTATCATTGCCTTAATCCCATATGAATAGGGTTGGGCACATAAATTGCTAATCAGATAGCAACACTTATCAACAGCTTAAAAAAAAAAAAAACAGGAAAAAAATTTGAAAAGGAAAATTTGAGAACCAGACTAGAAGAATGGCATTGCTGATTAGTACACACAATTCCATCATCCATGAACCTCTCGCCATTCCCTACCTACCCTCCATAGAGAGTAGAAATACCAGAAAATGTTTAGCAAGCAGAGAGCTTTAACTCAAGATATTAGCCCCACCACATTAGGCACAACCACTTGCACATCAGGCAACGGAAAAAACCTACTGCTATCAGCAATAAATTGAAGACAATTAGAAAAGCACATATGGAATACAAGTGCCAAAGTTTCTTATCAAACCATAGAATGCCATGGTACTTATCAGAGTTACCACTATAATGCAGATGAAGTATTGGGGGTTTCGGACCAGTAAGTACCTCTCTGGACCGGAGTCTTCAATAACAGTCGATTTCTGAAAATATTCAAGTCCAGACACTCGATCCCAAAATCAGAAATGAGGTGATAATATTCAGACTCTAGTTGAATTGGGGGGACACAAGAAGTGAGCTGACAAAGGGTGACTTGAAAATTAGGGTACAATCGACAAGAGCCTCGCTTTAATCCTTTAACATCTCCCTCATACCAATCTGTTTCATGCACTTCATTTGGTTAGTCTCCACAATTTGTCATGGACAATCAGATGTACGTGGAAAGTGCATCTGTACACTCCCTAAGTTCTGGTCAAGAGCTGTTGTCAAGGGGTGCCATTTCCGTATTCCTAGATTCAAGTATATCATTACTCTTTCTCGATCTCAACATCTCAGGTGGAAGAATTGATGTATCAGGATCACTTTTGGGCACCAAAAATAGCAGTGAAATCGGGAGAATTCTTAATAAGCTCCGGATCAATATGGCAATCCAGAGGTTGTCAAATTGTGTTCGTGTAACATTCAAGACGTGGAGCAAGATGCCTCCTAACCAGGATGATGAGAGCTTCCCAATATGATCAATTGACATAAGCAAAGCAAAGAAAGTGCCTTCTATACCAGAGGGGCAGAGTTTGGAACTGAGTACAAGAAGAGGCATCCATTTGAGGCGTCCAATCATATGAGAAACAGCTTCATCAATCACAACAAAAAAAAAATCTGGTACACCAAGTTTCAAGTTTATACGGAACAGCAATATTAAATCCAACATCCCTGATGCACCATACAGCAATTGAGTCCAGAAAAGTATTTGACGAAAAGGATGGTGTTTGAAAACATTTTGGTAGAGAAGAACCCCAGAGATGGAGCCAACCGCACCGATAGAAAATATGGACCCAACAACCTCCTGCATAAGCATATGGATTATGAGCTTAAAACATTGATGTGACTCATCCATAGTTCAAGCTTCTAGATATTGTGAAAATTCTGAATCCAGGCGAATTTTCATTTGGGAATTATAGCGACAAATTCGTGGGCGGAAGGCAATGAATGAATTTGAATGGTGAAAGCAAGGTATGAAAAAAAAAGAAAAGAAAGGGAGAATATTTTTTTATTCGAAAAATACAGTAAGAACAGTTCGTGAATATTGACTTATAGGCAGTAAGCCTACACATGATGGAGTGAGTAGATATGACTTGAAACTTCAAAAACACAGAATTTTCTGAATAGATATTATGAAAATAATCAAATACCTGAGAGAAAGATGGGCCTGTTTTAGCATCTGTATACCAATAGAACATTCCTTCATGAATGTTCAAGCACAATGCAAGTGACAAGTACATGTATAAACACGGCTGCCAGACAAATCGGCATTTTAGCGCTGTCCACATAGCCTTACTAGCATCCAGAAGCTTTTCGTTCACCTAATTCAAGGTATTAAAAGTTCAGGTAAACATAATGAGAAGTAAAAGAGAAGTGAATAAAAAAAGTAAACCTTACCCGACTGTAGGCAAAGTTGTGCATAATAGGTTCTTTCAGCATCACGCCAACCAAAATGACAAGCCCAGATGGAATGCATAGCACTCCAAACACACCCTGCAGCAAAGGTAAACTGTAGTAGTGAAATGGCAGAAGCATTCTTGCTGCAAACACACTGAAATCAGGCTGCAGTATGGTATATCTGAATCTGATCCAGCATGAATTACACAAACATGAATTGACTTAAAGCTGGTGGAATTTGGAAAAGAGTTCATACACGAATACAATTATTAGTAGACATCATGGTCAATCCAATTAAATATCAGATATTCAAATATGAAGAGTATTATATATAAATAATGTATTTTTTAGCATATAAATATATATTTTGGTTTTTAAACAAGTTTCAAGTTGTTTAAAAAGTTGAAACAAAACAATGAATCCACTCTCCATTTGCTATCTGATCAAACAGAAGAGGCAAGTAAAGCATTTTCCCGTTGGTAATGATCCAATCATTTGATACGCCTAATAGGCAATATTAAAGCGACATCCTGCATTGAATAATGGAACTAAAGGACATGAGCAGAGGCAAACCCTGGGTCCAATTTGGTGAACAAGAATGCCACTAACTGAATATCCCAATAGTAGACCAATAGAAGAGCTCAGCGCACACAAGCTCTGCATGTCCGCGGCAAGAGGAGGATGCATTATACTTTTCTCTGTAATGCAGGCATCAATAGTCACATCTGCAATTGCTACCCCAGCACTTGCTCCCATCAGGGACACCAACGCAAATGCAGGATGCAACTTCTTGTGCAGTGATAGTGTAAGCATAGAGATGACACCAAGAAAGCCTGAAAACATATTTCGTAAGTGGTTATGTCACACCAAATTAATAAAGGCAGGAAGCATACAGAAAACATAGGGATGTAGATTTCTTTCAAGTTTTAAGCAAGGAATCTAATTTCTATTTAAAATTTTTAAGTTCAATTATCTTTAAATACTCTGCAAGCCCAATGCTGCATAAAATGCTAAAAAAAAGTCTTTTGCTTTTAATAAATCTATTAATTTACTTGGCCCTTTTTGTCTTAATAGAAACTCCATCATGATGTGGAATGACCACAATGCCAGCAGGATAAGGATGAAGCAATCCTGCTAAGATGCCCGAAGGACAACACTGTCTGTATACAGAATGCAACCGAATTTTCTGCAAGTGTAAACACAATGCTTTGCAAATTAGATAGTTGAAAAGAGAATGCAAATGTTTAGAAACCTCATCCTCCGAAATGTACAAGTCTTATCCCAATTACTCTTTCCATGCATCTAATTATGCCTATAATTTTGAAGAATTGGCATATTTTGAAATATTAAGTGCTTGAAAGCAAATCTAAGTAATATATTATATTCCTTCTTCACATGAGTGATGCTTCAGGAAAAACCGATCTTTTCAGCTGCTGTGCCTGGAAAAACCATCTTCATATCCTTTTTCTTGATAAATAAAAGCCATCTTCATGTCCTTAAGTTGCAAAGTTGAATGAAAAGCCCATTTCCACCAATTAATTTATAATTCAGAATTCAGAATGGCTGAATCAAAAAATCAAACAAATAAAATGGTAAGTGAAGCTATATAGAGACTTCACACCTACCAGCTTACTGGGGAGCATCCACAAGCTTCTGACAAAGCTGCTGTCTCTCAGACTTTAAAGGGCAATAGATTGCATTAGTTTTGTGACTCAAATGCTTTTGCAGAGTAAAGGATAATCTTGTGCGCAATCTTGGTTGTTAATGGATGTACAAGTTCCAAGATTAAGTGACTTAAACAGGGGTTATTTGCAAGCTCAAGAATGAGAAGGCATATGATCACGTCCATTGGAGTTCTCGTTTCTTTGTTGGAGCATAAGGGTTTTTCGCTTTATGTAGCGGTTGTCTTCTCCATCTTGGTAAATGGCTCTCTAAAAGCTTTCTACCCAACCCAACATGCTTGAGACAGGGGAATCCTTTATTTCCCTTCTCTTTATCGTTGTTATAATGATGTTTAGCCATATGCTGATTATGGCAAGCGATGGTTAATAAGAAGAGAGTGGAGAAATTGCAAAAGAATCCCCTGTGATGCGATAGGGGAGATGCATTACAGTATTACTTGGTTGATTGGATGGTGGTCTATTCTCTTTTAGAGGAGGGATGGTCAGGGATTAGGAAGTTTAGGGTTTTCAATGAGGCTATTCTTGGGAATTGGTTGTGGTAAGTACAGAAATGCTTGAGGAGATGGATGGTCCTTTAGAGAGGAGGGTATTTTTCATGAAGTTGGCATTTAGAAAAGTGTCAGGAAGGGATCGAGTCAGTTCTCAAACTTGATCAGTTCTTGATTAAGCGGTTTCGATTGAAGCTAACACAGTTGCGATCGATCGAAGCTGCAACCCACTTCGATCGAAGCGTACATAAGTCTCTGTGATCAATATTTACTAGCTGCGGTCAATTGGACTTCGATTGTGACCAACACAGCTTGATGAGATTGAAGCTGACTTGTGATTCAGGCTCCAAAACCTCTACAAATATGTCCTTGTGCTTCGAATCTACTTCCATTTTTACTTTCTTCCTTCTACTGTAACTATTAGAGGGACTTTGTAGTCTTACCATATCACCAGTTCCCTAAAATTCACAACCAATATTATCTGCATAGCCTCCTTTTCTTTCTTGGAAAAAGAAACTATTTGATTGAAGTCCATGTTACTGTACCATCAATTACCTCTTAATGTGGATCTAGTAGAACCCTTCACATTTATTAGTCAGAAAATTAAAGAGAAGGGACAAAACAGAAAGAAGAAGAAACCTCCACCTAAAGAAAGAAAAGGTCACTAGCAGAAACCATATAGATTATTTGAAGGGTTCAAGAAGGATAGCATAAAATTTGGAAGAAAACCCAGCATCTAAAATAACAAAACCATTCAGATTTAACACATATATATATATATATATATATTTGTTCAGTACCAAAACACAAGGTTCTTAACACACTCCACATAAGAAATGTAATTAATGTTCAAGCTATCCATAATTGCAACAAACAATTAACTATGGATAAAGATTCCCAAAAGGTCAAATAACATATTTACTCATTTAATGGTAAGTCATGGACAATAATCACTCTAATAAAAGATAAATGTATATAACTGGGTACGAATAAATAATTTACCGGCAAAAACGAAATATGGCCGCCTCCGGTATCCATTGATGGGAACAATATCAGTGAGAAGACCCCATAAAGGTTTGATAATAAAAGGAATTAGAATAATCCCAGAATAAACCTGTGCTTCAGAGGGTTGTAATTTCTGCACATCCTTCATGTAATACGCTATGGTAAGACGACTCAGACCCATACCCAGACCCTGGTTGAGTCCATAAACGATCCCCACACTCAACACAAAGCTCCAACGCAGCTCATCACACAGCATTTTAACCCAACGTATGGGTCTCAATATTAGACCAAACAATCCCTCTTTCGGTCTCTTCTTCTCCTCCTGAGTCTGTTCCACAAGTGGAAGACCATCTTCTTCGTCCATTATTCAGATTAGAAATCAGTGTTGATTTGAGAAAGTAGCAAATACCCAGATCAGAAAATCAATATTTTTTTGAAATGGGTATCTCAAAATTTGACTGAAATTGGTTGAATGAACCAAAAGAGGCGAAGGGAGAAGGAAAGTGACAAGCTTGGGAATGAAGTTTGCAGTGGGAAAGGGTGCAAGAGGAGAGCAAGAAAATGGGCTAGTAAGTAATACAGTAACAGACAAAATGAAAGTTTTAACTTTGAACGAATAACTTCTCTTGACCAGTGTCCGTGTCAGACGGGATCGGTGCCTTGGCGACGAGTCACCGAGAAATCTGTATTAGCTGTAAGCTTACCACTGTGTTTCGCGCTGCATCAACTCTCTAGAAGTTGATCTCCCATTTCAAAGGCGTCGAACGTGTCATGCACGTGATCTCACTAATACTTTCGTGCACCATTGAATTCTTTGGAGACTTCGAGGGAAAACAAAGATATATTATAACCAGATGTTATTATTGACATTTTCAAAGAGTCAAGAAAAGCATGGGGGTGAGTTGGTGATAACTATAACCATACTATAGTCTCTTTTTAAAACTGCAACAATTCAATTTCTCGTTTACTTTTGTTCATTCTTTTATTTATTGGGTTGGCAAATGACGTATATGTGAGTTTGGCACATTTTCACGAATAAGAGTCAACGGTCACTATTTGAAAAATAAAAGCGTGGGAGAGTTGGTGATAATGAATCAATGATAACCATATTCTCTTTTTTTTACTACAACAATTCAATTTCTCGTTAACTTTTGTTCATTTTTTTATTTATTAGGTTGGCAAATGACATATATGTGAGTTTAGCAAATAATCATTTTTTTTTCTCATATATGTGAGATTGGCAATGACAATATGGTTTTGGAAGTTTTGATTTAGTAAAGATGATACCAGATAACACCTTTGCCGTATGTGCCCTCCACCCCGCTAGGCTAAAGCTATGTTTTGTTTATATTATTCCACCAAACATATTTAACTATATTTAAGAATAGTCTCAAAATTAAAAAATCTGAAGGCTTTGTTTGGAAAAGAATCTTTTGGAATTTGTAAATCAAACTATTCAAATCAAAAATCAAACTGACCATTAAAACCAACACACACATTTTCTAAAATTAAATCAATAAACACTTTGCATCCACATCCCGAGAACACATAAGTTCTCAAAATCATCTCTCTTTTGAAGATACTCTGTGAGGAAGAATAATCGTTGTTAATCTATGAGTCTTTTGACACTACAATGTCTAGAAAAACTATATCGATCGATATGACCCCTCCATCTTCTTGGAGCTTACCTGGTTAACTTTTGTTCATTTTTTTATTTATTGGATTGGCAAATGACATATATGTGAGTTTGGAAATTTTTTATTTTTTTATCATAGGTTTTGGAAGTTTTGATTTAGTAAAGATGAAACCAGATAACACCTTAGCCGTATGTGCCCTCCACCCCGCTAGGCTAAGCCTACGTTTTGTTTATATTATTCCACCAAACATATTTAACTATATTTAAGAATAGTGTTTGTGTATACATTAAAAAATTTTAAGACTTTGTTTCGAAACAAATCTTTTGGAATTTGTAAATCAAACTATTCAAATCAATAATCAAACACACCATTAAAACCAACTAACACCTGTTCTAAAATTTAATTAATAAACACTTTGCATTCACATCCCAAGAACACATAAATTCTGAAAATCATCTCTCTTTTGAAGGTACTTTGTGAGGAAGAATAATTGTTGTCAATCTTTGAGTCTTTTGACACTACAATGTCTAGAAAAGCTCCGTCGACCAACTTAAAGGATTACAGAACTTAATTAAGTGGGACCGATATGAACCTTCTATCTTCTTGGGAGCTTACCTGGTTGTATGTCATTGGAACTTTGATTGATAATTCGGAAACATTCTTTCCAAAACACATTCAAGTTCCAAATTAAATCCAAATCATGAATCCTTATTTCATCATAAACATAAAGGTTTACACTGGGAGATAATCATCGTTGCTACCGATGACTCCCTTGACTGCACAATGTTTAGGGAACATTATGTCACAAATAGGCAACTACGTTGTCTAAGGAGCATGGGTTTTAAGCAGGATTGTAGCGATCCCACCCATTCCTCTTGGGAACACTCCTGGTTATGTGTCATGGGATCGTGGTTGGCAATTCAGAAAAATTCTCTTCAAGAAAGAACCTTCAAATGAACTAACCCAAATATCTCTTCATCAACCATTCCCAAATCCAAAAGTCATTGTGAATCACATTCGGTTCACTTTACTGTAATGATCTTGATTTTTCCTATCATTTTCTAGGATTTTTTTATTTTTCGGAATTATTTTAGTCTTGTCTCATTTTGCGTGCCGGACACCGTGGGGTGTGCCAGATATGTTTTGAGAGTCGGTTGGGACATTTCCTTGAATTTAGGACTTTTGAAAATGCATTGGTTGTCATTTCGGTATTTTTCAGTTTTTTGGGCCGAAAGGTCCCAGGTAGAACCCGCTACCAGAGATGTTGTGTACGGGGATTGTATTTCGGGGTCATTGCATTCATACATTATTATTTAATGTACAATTATGTGGATACATGTTTATTTATATTGTTGTATTATGTTAGTGTATGTATATATATAAGTAAAAGATATTTTTAGAAGCCATAGGACCCACCACTTGATAAGCACTGAAAAGTGTGTATTTAAACCCCTTAAACTTGAACGTTATAAGACCTTATTTTATTTTATTTTATTTTTCTTTTTTAGTCTAATTTCATGTTATTTTCCTTTTTAGGCACTTATCTATAAAATAAGTCAATTCAGCTGAATTAGAGCATAAAAGATGCAATCTCAAGCTCAGTGGAAGAAATGAGCAAAGTAGTGAAAAACAGCCTTCTTTGATTGACCAAACTCAAGCTCCGATCAATCTCTCAGTGATCAATCCGACTATGCCATGATGGATCGAGCCTTTTGTCCTTATCCTTAGCAAAATATCTTCTTCGATCGATCCAACATTTCCTTCGATCGATTGAACCCCTTTGATCTTATCTTCACCTACCAATTTTGTCCTATTCCCAAAAATATCTCAGCCTTGTCATTATCCAAAAAGTACGCCGCCAAGGTTCGATCGATCCAAGCAACCTCGTGATCGATCGAACTGCCTCAAGTTGGGTGAAAAGTTGATTTCAAGCCAAATTAAATGTGTGCTCGTGGTGCAATCATTTGGAGGTCCTAATGCACAAGGACTGACCTTGGGTGTGACCTTTGAGCTACTTATATAAGGATTTTGGCTATTTTGAGTAAAGAGAGGTTGGTTAGTTAGAGAGACTTGGCTAGAGATTAGAGAGAAAATACACAAATTGGAAAAGTTCTTCCGTTCATTTAGAGTTTTTACCAAGGAGGAAGATGAGCTCTACCATGGAGATAGCCTTTGAGGGTTGGATGACAACATCAATGAGTGGCTAAACTATCTCTTGGGGCTAGAGATAGCCCTAAGCATGCATGTCTCCTAGACCTTGATGTTTTGTAATTAATGGAGATTAGTGTTGTATTTTTTGTCTCGACTTTTGATATAAAAAATCTTGTTTCTACAATGATTTGTGTAGTTTAATACTTCTAATTGATTATTTAATTTTATTCATATGTCTATGTATGCTAGAATGGATGTTCATGTGTTTGTCTCTAGATTTTGTGACATTGATGCATGTCTATGTGTGTTGATATTATGAATCTAGTGATGGTCAAGGCATGGTGCTTAAATGAAATACTCTTGTAGTTAATTTGATGGTTCATACTTATTTCTTGATGGATTGTGCCACAATCTTAGTTAAATTTTCATGTCACTAGCTTAGTTGTAGTGTAATTGCCTTATTTTCTTAGATAGGTGGATAATCCATTCTTGTTGTTTGATGTTCCATACTTATGAATGCAAGTAGTATATTTCTCTAATTTGTTAAGTGTGCATTGATTGTGGACTTATGGAAGGATTAATAACTTAATTTGATATGTTGTGCTATTCACTCGATTGGCTAGACAATTTATGCTTACTTGGCCATCCATGCTAATATTTCAATCAATGGCACACACTTACATTTACAACACATAATCTCCCTAATCCATCAAATATTGAATGTCTAGGAAGGTAATGCTTAGTGGTGAACTCTATGATCCAAGACTCCTCTTTCTTATTCTCTACACCTTACTTACTTTAGTTGTTTTACATTGCAATTATTTAGCTTAAATTGTAGTTTAATCCAACCAACAAACCATCTTTGATCATTCGACCTACTAATCCAACTTTGATTTCCAAGAAAAAATACACTCCATATCCCTTAGGACAATCCATACTTACTCTAGCTACATTAATAGTTAGTAGTGGTAGTGGCATTCTATAAATTCAAACTTGGTCACACTACACACTTCATTGCAATTTGGGTGCACTGACACGACCACACCAAGTTTTGGCACTGTTGTCGGGGACTTGGCACCGTCATATTTTGGAAATCAATTAGGAATTAGTTCTCTTTTGATCCTGTCTTTATTTTATTTTATTTTAGTTACTTATTGTGTTTGTTCTTGATTAGTTAGGTGCATTGATCCAAGGGAAGTGAAGTAAAGGGAAATTCAAAAGCAAAGAAGCCAAGCAAAGCTAAACAAAAGTGTAAAAATCTAAAAATTTATAAAGCAAAAATTGAAAAATAATTTGAAGTTGCTTAAGGACCCTTTGTGAGCTTTTCTAACTCTCTCTTTTGTTAAATCGTCGCCCCGCGTGGAGGCAAGTCTTTAAATTCTTAGATAAATCGTGAGCCCGCGTGGAGGCAATTTACTTTTCTTGCATATTGTTCAAAGCATGGGAGTATGAGATCAATGTATGTGGAGGATTGTTGTTGATTGACTTATTGTGAAGGAGAAGTGCTTGTTTTTATGCTTGTTGTTGATTTGTTGTTTGCTTTGATAGTGCATGCATGGTCGTAGATCATTGAATC